AGGCTTTGTTGTTGTTGTTGTTGTTGTTGCTCAATTTTTTGAATGTGGTAAGGTTTCAACTCTACTCAAACAAGTTTAAAAGAAGCCCTGAACCTAGAGAAAGCAATTTGTTAATCTTCAAATATCATAGAGTTCTTCAAATTTATTTGAGTATTAAATGATAGATTTAGTCTCTTGCCCAAGCGAATTAAATTCATTAGGTAAGCCATCATTATATAATAAAGGCAAAAATTTATATTTTAAAGGTTTTTTACTTCAGCCAACTAGTTGTTATGAGTTCCCTTACCAATCTCTGTACCTCTCCGAACTCATCCAATAAATTTTAGATTGATCAATTAATTCCACTTTAGCAAATTCCACTAATTCATCAAATACAATTTGTCATTAAAAAAAAATGTCAGCATCAAGTAATTAATTTTATGACAACATCTAAATCATAAATTTAATATCTATAATTTTTATAAGCACCATTATTAGACATTTTGAATTGACAATCAAAACGATTCTCGTATCTCCTAACAATTAGCATTCAAACATGTTCATCATTATTATCACAATCTATTTTTGGCTTCACGTGCATTAACCTAATTAGTTTCTGATGTGTCCATTCATGCTTTAACCAAGTTGAAGTCATCACACAATTGAATTTGCTAGTTCAAAAATCAAGTCAACTAATTTTGTAAATTTGTTTTCACACCTTTCATGATATGCCAAGTTACTTTGATGATGAGACCTGTTTTTCAGTAGCATGTCGACATAATCTAAAACTTTTGACACCAATTTAATATCAAATCCCTCAATATTAGATTTATTAATGCAGCTAACAAGATGTGTAAAATGCTTTCATGTAAAAAAAATTGAGATTTCACATATAACAAATAAAAAATTAATTCAACAGCTCATTTCCTCAAGTAAAAATAATACTAGAATTTAAGATCAACTGATAATAAAATGATCAAAAAGATCTATGCAATTCCACATAAAATTGAAAACTAAAAAAATCAATTTTTTTGTGCCACTTCTTAGATCAAAATCAAGCAATTTGAATAAATCTAGAGATTTGAATAAACCAACTAAATTATTTAAATAAAACAATACGAGAAAATAATTCTAGCCCTCCCGCTCGTAAAAAGATGACTTCTCTCGTAATAAAGTAATAACCAATGTACCTCACTCAAAAGAATTACACAACAACCATGCAAAGCACAAAATCTCACAAAATTGAAACAAAAACTACAAAATTTCTTGAAATCCAAAAGGCATCCTCAAATTACATGCCTCATATATAACTTGTAGATTTATCATTTCATGATCGTTAGCAATGTTAGCACAAAATCAACCTGATTCAAGTTAAAACATAATCCAAATTTTCATCCTTAATTTCGACCTTAAAAAAGGGAGGCATTCAGATACATAAAACACAACTCTTATGTATTAACATATTGAACACCTAAACATTCATATTTACATGCATACCACTCAAATCTTTAGCATCACGTCAAAAATGCCACAACTGTTATATTTTAAAAGTGAAATACACCTTTTCATGCATAGGTTTATGACACCAATGTGTTAGAATTGTAAATATCAAACTATGGGTGTTAGGTATGTCAATACAAAAGAATTGTGCGGTATCTATGTAAATTCCCTTTAAAAATTCCCAGAAAGTCTTATCTAGAAATCCTTTGGAAATCCATAAAGCGGTTTTGGGTATATCATGTAGCATAAGTGCAGCCAATACTGCAAACTGTGGTGAAATCAAAATAAAAGAATGATAAGTTACAAGTAGCACCAAATACTCTGGTTTCAACATACTGTCCTAACTAAAAATCTTACGGAAATTCCACTTTGAAACATTAAACAACAACTAATGCACACTCTGCTTATATAATAATTATGAACTATACTGTTCAATTTTGGAATGAACCCAAAAAAAAAAAAAAAAATATCGTTGTGGAATTACTCTAACCTGAATCAAAGCTAAAAGTATGCCAAATACATGAATCAAATTAGAAGCATCAATTCAGGATGACATGCCAAATTTAGATCTGCCCAAAATTGACCCGACCAATATGCTTAACCCAAGCAAGAACCTATTATTATATACAACAACAACAACAAAGCCTTGATCCCACTACGTGGGGTCGGCTACATGAATCCTTTTTCTCCATTGCGTCCTTGTTAGTGTGAGTCAAAATATTTCATCCAAATAAGCAAAACCTAAAACCGACCCGTCTAATTCTTTTTTATTTAGACCATACAAACCTTAGAATCAAAAAACCAAATTAACTTGAATATGCTCCTTTTAATCCAAATCACCCGACCCAAATTAAAATAGTAATCAAGTCAATTTTGGATTGATTTCAAGTTATCCAGGCCAACCTAAACCCAATCAAATAAAAAACATAACTATTATAATATAGACTCGAACCCAATCCAAATTTTAATAATATCAACAAGAACGTAAACATTTTGAGTCAGTTTCAAGTGGGTCATTTATGGACTCCCCTAAATTAAACTGAAATTATTAAACAAAATGCAACCCACTCTCTATTATAAATACTGGTATGTTCTAAATTGCAAAAGTAACAAAATAAAATGAAACAACTTATGAAAACAAAAATAAATAGATTGTGTAGGATTTAATGTTTAAGGTGATGATTCCAGTGAAAAAAAGTGAAGATTTCAATAAAAAATCCAATGTAAGAAGTTACAACAGGGAAAAAAAAAATCAGATTTGAGAAAAAAGCATCAAGATGCTACATGGAGACTCAACACAAATAGAAAACTTATGCACCCTGCAAATTCAGGGTAACCAGGAAATCAGTTAGAATTCAAAAAGTGCTGTTGTTATATTGCTCTAGATAAACCTCAAACTCAACAAAATGATAATTATTTGGCACTTTGAGAACGTTAAAGAATTGTAAACAATGAAAGCAAGTATATAAATAAATATTCACCATATAAAACAATAAAATATATAAAATAGATTGAATTACAAGTGAAAAAAAAAATTGTATCTTGCAGTCTTGTCTTTACAAATCAATATGAAAAGGTGAGCTGAAAAACAAATGTCCTCCTGAGAAAATAACAAAATAAATAAATTATACTATGGATGAATCCACAATTGAGTATTTGAAGTCCAGCTTTCAAAATTTTGAATGATGAGGTCATGATGCATTTTTTATCTGAAAAATAAGCAAGTATAGATACACCTAATGCACAAACCTTTGATTGGCACGCGAACAGATATTGTCTAAATTCAAATTCTCTAAATGAGTCATCCTGGACAACTTGAGTTAAGGGTTTAAATCCAGGATTCAACAGAGCAGCCTGATCATCTCCACGCTCTAAACCTCCAAAATCTCTCTGTTTGGAAGTATGTACTGCATGTTTGAAAAATAATAGAAGTTCGTGACTTCGTAACAAATAATTAGGTTTACATCTAGTAAAAAGAATGAAGCAGAAGATTATACATGAGCAAAAGAGCAGTACAATCCTGTCACAGTTTTCCTCTTCATAGTTCCAGGATAATTAAAAGAGGTCTATGGCAGTTAAATTTATTTTTACTTTATTTCTAACATGAGAGACTTTCAAATTATGCAGAAAGATTAGAAAATGAAACACCTTCATACAAAATGAAATCAAAGTCAAACTCTGGTTCTTCCAATCTTTTTCTTTTTGCTTACCAAAACATGGTAAAAGGTTGTAAAAACTAAGAAAGGCGGGGAGAACCTGAATAACCACCAAATGAATAATATTACACCACTTGCCTATGCTCACAGAAGTAAATTCTATTAAATTAATCTCAAAAATAGTATGTAGAAAAAGAGAGCAGGGTTTCATAGTGTTGAAGTCATGAAGCGGCTTATAATGACTAACTGAACAAATTTTAATAAATCTCCCCCAAGACTTCTTGAAAAAAGCAAGCTATACAAACATTAAAAAGAACTTGAAAATGCCTATTAGGTCAAAGTAAAATGCAGATTTACAGCAAATGCATTTGTCTTGGAATTGAATTTGTGAGAAATTCGCAAAACATAGATAGAACACAGAGATTTATGTGGTTCGACAAATTGTCTACGTCTACGGAGTTGCAGAGGATTTTATTGCGTGAGGATTTACACGCCGTGAGGATTTACACACCGTCGATAGTGTCAACGATTACAAGAATAAACTCTTCTGCTCTCTCTCTCTACGCGTGAGCCACCAAAAGGAAGAGCCGCAAAAAGAGAAGAAGACTTGCAATTCACCTTCTTTCTTCACACGTAAGCTAACGCTGAAGAAAACCGAAAAGAGAACCGAGGGAGAGCCAGAACCTGCGATTCTTTTTGCCAACAAGCAATCACTGAAGGAGAGTTATCTGAACAGCGGAGCACCGGCCTTTTTAATCGCGAAACCAGGGAAGCGCGGGACTTGTTTCACCCGCCGAAGAGGTCAAGCGAGAGAGAGGGAGAACCAAATATGGAAGGCACGAGTAATTCTTCCAAAGGAAAGAATTAAAGAAGCAATATAATTATCAAATATATTTCATAGATGCAAAAACCTCCAATTTAGGATGAAGTAGATCGGGCTCAACATAACACAACAATTCTCTCACTTGGAGCTGCGACACTACCTGCATAATCCACTGGTTGCACCATCTTTTTCCTCAAATGTGGTATATTCCACCTCTACAACTCAAAACCTCTTTCTTCAAACTAGAAGACCAACTGAAGTTAAGCACAACCTCAGTTTCTCCTTTAGTCAACATAACAGCAGGATTCTTGTTTCCATGAATTTTCTCAAGTAGCAACTGTCCGTCATCTAACAGTGATCACATGATGTGATACCCGATCTGAATGTGCTTAGTTCTGGATTGAAATGTTGGATTTCGGTCAAGGAATATGGCGCTCTGACTATCACTGTAGAGAGTGCCCTTTCGAACCTCCTTACTCAATCATTCAAAGAAACTCTGCAGTCATATCATCTCATTTGCAGTCTCTGACACTGTAATATATTCAGCTTCTGCAGTAGACAAAGAAACTGTTTTCTGGAGATTTGAGTCCCATGACACTGCAGTACCACCAAAAGTATATACATAATCTGTAGTACTCTTCCTGCTGTCAACATCTCCAACTAAGTTAGCATCAATGTAGCCCTAACCTCCAGACTTTTTCTTGAAAAACACTAGCAGGTTTTTGAAGAACCCTTTAGGTACCTCAAGATCCACTTCACAGCTTCTCAATATTCCTTTCCTGGATTACTCATGTATCTTCTCACAACTCTCACTGTATGGGTAATATCTACTCATGTGCAAATCATATCATATATAAATGAACCAATAGTTGAAGCGTAAGAAATCTTATTCATGCAATCTTGTTCCTTTTCTAACTTGGGTGATTGATATGACTGATTCTTGTTGAGTCAGAAGTGACTGCACAAAGGTGTATCAGCTGGTTTGGTTTTGTCCATATTGAACCTGCTGAGTACTTTTTTTCACATATTCAGCCTGTGAAAGTCTCAACGTGTCTCTGACTCTAACAATTCTCATTGTTTGCATCTCCCAAATCCTTCATTGCAAAGTGCCCTGACATCTGCTTATTTAGATTATTGATCTCATCAATACTAGCCCTTGCAATAAGCATGTCTTCCACATACAACAGTAAAATAATATAAGAATTGTCAAAATATCTGACATAGCAACAGTGATCCGTCTAACATCTACTGTACCATGTATTGTGCATAAAATTATCAAATTTCTTGTGTCACTGTCTAGGAGCTTGCTTCAAGTCATACAAACTTTCTTTAGTCTGCAAACTGGATCTTCCTTTCCCTGTACCAGAAACCCCTCAGGTTGGTGCATGTAGATGTCTTTTTCAATGTCTCCATGAAGAAAGACTGTCTTCACGTCTAACTGCTCAAAAAATAGATCTTCGGTAGCCACCATGGGCAGTACCATTATGATGTTTGTGAGTTTCACCACAGGAGAAAATATCTCAGAATATCCAATGCTCTGTCTTAGCTAAAAGCATTTTACAACAAGTCTAATTTTGTACCTCTTAGTATCATTACGCTCAGTTTTCACCCGATATACTCATTTATTGTGCAATATTTTTTTCCCTTGTGGAAGTTTTGTCAGCTCCCATGTTTGATTTCTTAGCAGATAATTCATCTCTTCTTTCATGGTTAGCTTCCACTTGCTCGAATTTTCATCTTGCAAGGTTTCTTCATAATTCTGTGGTTCTTCACCATCTGTCAACAGAATGTAGTTTAAGGTTGCTGAGTAACACTGAGAATAACGTCTATTCCTGACTAACCTGCAAACTGTAGCTGTAGGGATGGACTGCTCTGAAACTGACTGCTGAACAATAGAAATGGGTGCCCGGACCCACTCTCCTCGACACTTTCATCACTGTCATATATTGTGACCCTGGTAGATCATCATACCTTACCAACTCAGATTCCTGAGGGGCTACTTCAGAAGTCATACTAGTCTTGTCCTTGTACATAATCTTCTCATTAAAAATCACATTAATGTTTCTTATGATCATCTGATCCTGATCATCCTAGAAACGATAATCAAATGACTCGTCTCCATAGCCAATGAAATAACATTTCTTTGACTTAGCCTTAAATTATTTGCTACAAGCATCAGAATTAATAAGAACATAAGAGAGAGCCAAAAATTTTAAGGTGAGAAAATTTGACCTTTGCCACTCTAGACCTCCTCAGGTAATATACAGTATAATGAAACGGATGGCCCCGTGTTGATCAGGTAAACTGCAGCTGCCTAAAAAGTTAGTGGTAGTTCGGTGTGCAATCTCATGCTTCTAGCTCGCCCATTAATGGTCATGTTCATACGTTCTGCAACTCCTATTATTGTGGTGTCCCAGGAATGGTCTTCTCTATTCTGATACTCTGAGTTGTACAATACTCTTTAAACCCACCATCAATGTACTCACCACCATTGTCAGACCTCAAACATTTAAGCTTTAAGTTTGTCTTTGTCTTAACCATCGCCTTCCATGTTCTGAACACATTAAATACATCAGATTTATGCTTTAAAAAGTACACTCATACCTTCCTGTTTTGGTCATCAATAAATGTGACATATTAATGAGAGCCTCCAAAAGATGCTACTGGGGAAAGCCCCCACACATCTGTGTATAAGTTTTAGTTTTCCTGTCTTTGGCGCTCTGCCACTTTTCAAGATAATGACTTTCTTCTATTTTCCCATAATATAACTCTCACACATGCCGAGATCAACTGGCTTCAGTTCTGATAGTTTGTCTCTCGACTGAAGTTCTTTCAAACATGACTCATGTATCAAAGTTTGCAATGCCACAAATATGTTGTGCTCTCTGCAGTAATAGTATCAACATTGTTAATTGAACAAATAGTAATATATAGCGTGCCAATTTTCTTAGCCCGAGCCAGTACTAATCCCCCTTTTGTAACTTTTCAGAAGCTATCTGAGACCACTACTGAATGACCACCTTCATCGAGTTGTCCAACATAAATGAGATTTTTATTCAACTCAAGAATGTGCTGGGAGTGCAATGTCAACATCTCTCAATCCTATCACGTTCAAAGATTCTCCATCAGCCAGGTATATCTTCCCAAAGTCACTTGCAACATAATTCCGCATTAACTCTTAGTGGAAGGATGTACGAAAAAAATCCCCTGAATCTAGTATATAATCATCAACATAATTATGAACTACTAGCAATAGTGCATCTTAAATTTTTTTAGTTACAACATTAGCACTGGCGTTCTCTGTCGTCTTAGGATTTTTGTGGTTCTTCTTTATAAACCAGTTTTTCCACAATTCCAGCAGATTGTTTGCTCACCAGGCTTTGACTTGCTCTTGTCTCTGTGCTTTAATTTTAATCTTCCTTCGTTTGAGTTATTGTCCTGTGATCTCCCTCTGGAATCACATTCTGTGCTGAACGTACCCTCGAGGTCTTGTCAAAATCTTTCCTGCGCACCTCTTTGGTCAAAATCAAATCACAAATATCAATATATTTTAGCTTAGGTTTACTTGCAGAATTGCTAACAGTCATGCTCATAATTTCCTAGCATTTGACAATGAAGCCAACAATATCAGTGCACGTATCTCATCATCAAATTCAATTTCCACATACAATAATTGATTTGTGATAGTATTAAAATCATTTAAATATTGTGCAACAGTTGTAACATTTGTCATCTTCAAATTAAATAACATTTTCAATAGATGTACCTTGTTATTCGCTGATGGCTTTTCATAATACCTGATAAAGCTGTCATGAGATGTGCAGTCATCATTTCCTTAATAACGTTGTGTGCAAAGGATCTCAACAGAGTTAATCGAATAATCCACAGAACTTGTCTATCCAACAGATTTCATTCAGCCTCATCCATTTTTTCCGGTCGTTTTTTCAGTAGCGGAAGATAAAGTTTATTCTCATAGAAGTAGTCTTCTATTTGCATCCTCTAGTAGCCAAAATTCGTGTCATCAAATTTCTTGATCTCTGATACAATCACTTCATCTCCAGGCATCGCTATCCTCATACCTGAATCTTGGCTATGATAACAATTGTTGTGGAAAATGATGGTAATAAAACGAAAAATTAGAACGAGATATTAGCAAAATAAAGTCATAAGACAGATTTACGTGGTTCGGCAAATTGCTTACTTCTACGAAGTTAACAGAGAATTTTATTGCTTGAGGATTTACACACCTTCGATAGCGTCGACGATTACAAGAATAATCTCTTCCTCTCTCTCTCTCCTCACCTTCTCTCTCTCTACCCGTGAGCCAACAAAAGGAAGAGCTGCAAAAAGAGAAGCCTTGTGATTCACCTTCTTTCTTCACTCGTAAAACAACGCTGAAGAGAACCGAGGGAGAGCCAGAACCTGTGATTCCTTTTGCCCGTAAGCAATCACCGAAGGAGAGTTATTCGAACAAGGAGCATCAGCCTTTTTAATCGCGAAACCAGGGAAGCACGGAACCTGTTTCGCTTGTCAGGGAGGTCAAACGGGAGTGCAGAAGAACCAAATATGGAAGGCACGAGTCATTCTTTCAAAGGAAAGAATTAAACAAGAAATATAATTATTAAATATATTTCATAGATGCAAAAAACCTCCAATTTAGGATGAAGTGGACCGGGCTCCACATAACCAAACAAAAGCAATCGAGGAGATTAGGTGTCAAACAAGTTGGGATCATCCTCATCGATACAACTGTGTTGTAATCGAGATCGTTGCAGAAAGACCAAGGTAGCTCAAAAGGTGTACGTATAGAATCTTTTTAAGTACATATCATTTGGTTTCAATGGGTTAATGCCAGGTCAAATTTTGCATTCTTGCCTCTTTCTGTATCATAAAAAGCTGGTATGTAGAAAATACAGAATACGGTTTCATAGTGGTGAAGTCATGTAGTGGATTACAATGACTAACTGAAAAAATTTTAATAAATCTCCCCCCAGTCTTCTCAAAAAAAGCAAGTCATACAAACATAAAAAAGAACTTGAAGATGCTTACTAGCTCAAAGTATCATGCAGATTACCAGTAAATACATTTGTCTTGGAATTGAATTTGATTATTCAGGAACTTAGTTTCAAAGAAATCGAGGAAATTCGGTGTCAAACAATCCTCATCTCTACAACCGTGTTGAAATTGAGATTGCTGCAGAAAGACCAAGGTAGCTCAAAATGCGTACATATAGCATTTTCTTAAGGACACATCATTTGGTTTCAATGGGTTAGCGCCGGGTCGAATTTTGTTTTCTTACCTCTTTCTGTGTCATAAAAAACTAGAAAGGGACACTCATTACTTATTCAAGGAAACCATTGAAACTGTCCGTAAATAAATTCACAAGAACAAAGAGGAAAAAAAAGCCTTCCACCAACCAATTTCAATAAAAACAAGAGAGAGTTGTCTAGTGTTTCCTAGGTGCCAGTTATCATGCAGATGAAATGCTCCTTTCCAAAGGGTTGTCAATCGCTGTTATTAAGAAGCTTACAGCAATTATGGCTAGAAGTAGAGTGTTTCACTGCTATATTTTGGAGGAATGAAAACCTCATTTCCCTTTACTTCATAAAAGTGGAATAAACCTTCAAAATACCTCTGAAATTCTCCACAATATCCATAAACGTAGTTTTCACATCAAGTCCTAATTTCACCTTCAAGAGCTTTTTCCAAAATAATTAAATACCGAAATACACTAGCTCCTAGAAAGAAATAGTTACAATTTGTTTTTATTCTTTATTTCACATCATTATTCTATCTCCATTGGTAGAATCAATGTGATGGATTGGAAACAAGGGATAGTTTATAAATGAAAATGAAGCTGGAATAGGCTAACCTATGTTAAGATATCACAGAAAAACAAAATAAAATGCAGTTAAGAATTTATGGAAAAATAAGATATCCGGAAAAATCAGATATCCATGAATAATAGCCACAAACTTGCATGAAAGCTCTAATTTTTATAGAGTTTCTTAAATTTCCAACAAACAACCAAAGACAAGTTCACTGCAAACTGAAAAATGTATCATTGTTAATCAGTTTGCCACGCCATGACTTATATTTGAATGACAGTGACACGGGGCTGAGGAGGCCAGCCGGCTGAATTAACTAGCAGATGGACTGGCAGAATCGGTCCCAGTGATTGCAGTTCCAGCTCCTGCTGGATTGAGCAGCAATTAGAAGGGGCACCACTGCCGCCAACCCCTTCCCCTTTCCTTTTTTGTTTCCCACCTGTTTGGAGTCCTTTTATTTGTTGTTTGAGATAATAAGGGTTATGTGTTATTTGATTGTTGTTTCAAATTATGTGTGGAGTCTCCACTTCCTTTACTATGTCTGTATTCGACGATGGGTGGTGCTTCGGTTGTATCCCGCTCCGAGGTGGTGTTGTATCCTATCTTCCTCCCTATCACTTCTCCTTCACCTCCCTTAGCCATCGGCCATCCCATCTCCTGCCAGCTGTCCTGCTACCCCCTTTTACTACTGCAGCTTCACTGTACAGCCCTCCAGTCTACCACCCAGCACCTTGTCATCCCTTCCCTTGCAGCAGCCATTGCTATCCACTCCTCCACGCCTCCAACCAGCACCCTACCAACCTTTCCCTGCAGTCCTACCTGCTGCACATCCTCTCCCAAACCCCATCATCAGCCTTCTATCCCTTTCCCCCAATACCCAGCCACAGGTGACCTTCACCCTCACCTTCCCCCATCTACTCCATCTTCAACCTACCACAACTACTCCTCAACCACCTCGCCGAAGCCCGTGAGTCTTCTCTTCCGACTAAAGCCAGGAATTGTTGTTGTTGCATCTTAATTCAGTTTTGAGTCGTGTTCTGTAACCCTAAATCAGTTGATTAATGAAATTGTTTTCCGTTTATGCTGGTTTTGAATTAGTTCCGGTATCATACAGTAAACTGTTTAATTAGAAGATTCATTAATGAAATGGACAAGAGTTAAAAGCGCATGCTGGTAGCACTTAACCTTAAATGTGTCAACAAAAAGATCATGGTGATAATTTAAAATAAAAGAAGCTCCGGCTGTTAAAAATAATGGGCTCTTTTGTAAGAGTCGTCATATAAAAAAAGCTAATTCAAGGGAAACAAGCAATATTTTACATGTAAAGTAGAATGCTTACAGAACCAAATAGTGATTCTCAATTATCCACAGTGAAGTGTATAACTACCTGCTTACACCTTAAGACAAACAAAAGGTTTCATTCTCACCACAGGAAAAGCAATAACTACGAACATAGCTTCGTGAATCCCTTCCTTCAAATTTGTTGGGGATTCTTGGATACCAGCATGTGCTTTCCAACTTGCATGATGCCATTCGAATATTACAAAGTAAGAAAAACAAGTGAATATGGACACCGTTAGGGAAACTTTCGAGTTTACTATCCATATTGCAGTCTAGCTTTCGATATATGCAATAGGCATGCCAATCTTTAAAACACAAACTTTTAAATTATATCTAGCAACTATCAATAACAATAATCACATAATGCCTACTGTCATGATGCTCAAGTCAACTTGCCAGATGAATAACATTTAGATCAGAGGACAATGCCATTGAAATAAGGAAATCAAGAAATTGAAGAAAATTGCAAAGAGAAACAGCTGAATATGTCACTGACATATAGCCAATCCCATTATCCAAACAAACTCCCAAATGATTACAGAATACAATATCAAGCTTAATATTGCAAATATTGAGTGGATAAATGCCAAATCATTGAAGTAGAAAGGATTGGAACCTGTTTCTAAATAGCAAAGTTCTAGTTCATCATATTCACACAAGGCATCCTCAAGAAGGTGGGCCATCTCAAACATGAAGGCCAGGCTTTCCTACAAATTATGTAGCATCCAACTTAAAAACAGAAGTTCCAAATGATACAATATATAAAAGGCAAATATTTTAGCCTAAGTAAAAAAAAATCAAGGACACGGCACCTTTAAAATAAAGAAGTTACAGAAACTCCAAACGGGCATGAAACGTTGTTCAGTGAGCTTGCGAATTTCCTCCTCATAAAATTGAACACGTCGATCTAATGAATTTCGAATAGATTCAACTATTTTAGAATCCAAATCTTCCCAAAAATTTGGATCAGGTCCTTGCAAATCCAGTTTACAGCACCTGGGTGTGAAATAGTCCAAATCTCAAAATTGAATTCGACAACAGACCAATAACCATCTGGAAATGAACCAATCCATGCTAGTTGCATGCTCTATAAAAAATCAGCATGAAAGAATAGAGAGAAAATTAACTCATGAGTTGGGCTAGTAAATTTTTGTTCTGCATTATGTTGTCGACATTAAGAAGACCAGTTTGTGTGCATTGCATACTGATTTTGATATGAAAACAGAACTGAAAAAAAAATATATGATTGGAAAAATATTCATTTCAAATGGAAGTGCTTCCTCCGCAAATTGCAAAAATGAATAATTTTATTCTCCCCGGTGAAATAAAGTAATATGTGTTATACCTCTCCCTCTTTTTTGAACTGAAATCAGCCTGAAGTCTAGCATATATTTTTTTAGCCATCTTAGTTGCTTGATCATTGTTGGGATGAGCTCTTGACACAAATACAATAAACCACTCCCGCTCATCATTTTGGACGATTAGTTTTAGCCGTGGCTTTAAAATTGTCTTGAACTCATCAAGATCCTGGGGACAACAAGAAGCAAATTTATCAACAGAAAATCCATTTCAACAGGGCATTTTTTCTATAAGGGAAAATATGCAAATTTTGTGAAATTACAAGATAGATTTATGATGTACCTCACAAGTAACAAGAACAACAGTTGCATATGGTTCTCGGAACCAGAAAACAGACAGTTCCTGTGAAAAACGGCTGCGTAGCCTTGAATCAGTTGTCAATATAAACTCTGCATGTAGATTCTCCACATTGACAATATTTCGAGTTTTGTTACTAAGAAGAGCCTTCTTTAGAGGCAAGCGTTCTTCAAATCCCTCCTTAACACTCGGCCAGAGATCACTCACATCTTCCACTAAAGAATGAACACAAGAAAGTAAAAAATCAGCATAGCAATGCCATTCTCATCATTGCCAGCATGCAAGAATGGTCGTTCATGGATAAAGAGAAGGAGGGGGATTGGAATAGGATTTAAAGGAGAAAGTGAAACAAAAGTTGGACAAATTTTTAAATTCAATATCACACAGCCAACTATCTTGAACCTCCTATTAGATGATAACAGTCAAAGATAAAAAAATGAACGACAATTTAATTATTTAATTGGACAACAAGCTCTCAATGAAACATATAATATTTAGAGAACTATATTTAAGAAGAATAGAAACTTTTAAATTAATAGATCTTACATTAACATACATTATCCATCTACATCTTTGATGGTTGAGGTTTAAGATAGATAATCCTCCTTTTTCAATTCCCAATTTCATATTTCATTAACGGGATTTTTACATATCAACAACAAAATATTGAATATAACATATTAACCACCCAAACTTTAAATATAACATTTTAAAAACCGAAAACTTTCACTTAAAGTCTTCACTAGTGAGTAGTGGAGAGTAGTTGTGATGGAAAAAGTGATTAAAATGTTATGTTTAAGTTTGGGAGGTTAAAATATTATATTCAATGTTTTGGGTGGTTGTTATATTAAAACCCCATTAGTATTTTATATCTACTTTAAATCTAAATCATTCAAATATGTGGAAGAATGGTCTATAATGTAGGAGGATAAGAGCTACAATCCTTCTAAAGGGTAAAAGTTTACCTTATGTATATAATATGCACAATAGAAAATGCAGCTACAATCCTTCTAAAGAGTAAAAGTCTACCTTATGTATATAATATGCACAATAGAAAATGCAATAGATTTAAGGAGATTCTTTTGGGCATCGGAAAATCTACTAAAAGTGCAAACTCTATGAATGACATGCTTTATAGGCATGAAGTCGTTAGCTTAAATAGCATTTGTCCCTCCCTCGTATTTGGGGAGCAAATATGAGAAGATTTGAGAAGTATAACATATCCAAGAAGTTGTAATAAAACTTGGATTCGAAGCAAATAGAATTAATAGTATTTTGATAGAAGAGAGAAAAAAGATAGACATATCAACACAAGGATTCCCATTTTGTGCTCGTCATGTAAAGGCAAAAAAGTCTAAAGAAAAAGTAAACAAAATTATGCTTAGAGTTAAAATACTACTAAGAAATCAATGATTTTTTGCTCGTAAAAAGCAAAATTATCATATATAGAAGTTGTAATACACTATGATATTTTCCATATAAAATAGCATTTTATATAAAAAATCAGCTTCAATTTCACACAAAAGGGATTAAAAGTCAATATATGTACCCTTGCAAAATTAGAGTGCTCAACCCAACATAACCCAATTAACATGTTTTTAAGTCTTTACTCAACAATTTCACACAAATTGATGCTTTAAACCCCCAAAAAAAAAGTAAATGGGGAGAAGAGCTCTGCCCTTATACAGTTCAACCTAGAACAACATTATTTGACTGTTTCTTCATTTAAAAATGTTGAATATTTATTTTATAATAAACAAATAGATGCATCCTATTATTGTCCATATGAATGGGGATTTTAAATTCAGTAATATAATATTGCATGGTATACATATATAATAAAATATAATCTTTTTAGATTTTTTTATGCATGTGAAACAAGGTTCGATTAGATTCAAATACACTCATTTGAACCATCTCAGCGATCTAAATGTGCTCGTTCAATCCGTTTTGCAAAATAAAATTCCGAAGAAATTTCTTTTCAAATATTTCATGCAAATGATATTTTGTGTGTGGAAATTCACATAAAATAAAGTAGATAATCAATGTTGTGCTCATCACATGCCCCATCAAATATGATGATGAATATGATGTGACTTGTGAAATATAATTTTGAGCTAGACTTTAAATCGGAGTGACCACTAGTGAATTGAGTCCTATGATATAATTTGATTTTTCTTGATTTTTATGACCTAGTTGTGGTCAAACTAACTTTATTCTAAGTGAGTTAGGGATCACCTTGAGTTCATTTTGAACCAATGAAAATTAGTTTCTTTAGCTTTAGGTTCAGTGCTTGATTTGAGGTTCGTTTGAGGCAGCTTATTTGGTGCATTAAGCATTTTCAAAACGCCGCTTGGGTGTTTGTTTTTTGTGTTCGGGATGCTTTTCTGAAAACGGAGCTAAGCTCCGTTTAAAAGACGCGGCCACGGGATCGACCCCGCAGATCAAAATGTGTTTTCGATCTCGCTTTTCCTCCAGTGCCCTTCTGTTTGTCTTCTCCCTCGATTGGCTCCTTCATTCGTAGAACACGGCAAAGCAGGCGAATGATCAATTGGCTTAATTTCTCCGTCTATTTCTCCCCACTATGTGTTTTCCTCGAACCGTTGGAGGAGCGCAAGCGGGGATAGCAACACGGCAATGTTGGAGTACTGCAAGGAAAAGAAGAGAATGAGATATAAAAAATGCAGTTATACAATTGCATGTGGCTTGCTAGGCCGTTGGTGAAGAAGGAAGCAATTATGAATCTAGTCGCTCGATTGGGGAAGCGAGTTTTTCAGTGCAAAGGAGTCTTCACCGATATCAAATCTTTTGGTGCAATGCAGCTCGGCTACAGAATCAAGAAGCTCGACAGCCGCCATGTTCAGGTCGCATTCTTTTTCTTACCTTCTTCTGTTTTTACTGGAAAGTTATTTGTTGAACTTGTTTCTAGGTTTTTTTCTTCCCTTGCATCCGGTGTTTAGAAACTGGTTCAATTTTTATGGAAAATACTCTTGCAATATTTTTGTGTTAATCGTTGCTTAGTTGATTGGAATTTGTTTTACTTGTTGCCAATAAGTGGTTGAAAGAATGTAATGTCTGAAAGTGATGTAGTAGATGAACAATTTGGTAAGTACATTGGTTGGACAACATCTTATCCTACAAGACTTGTAGGATTTAAGTTTTATGTACTGAGATAGAAGGCTGATTTGGAGCGATTGTTCGGGTTACTAGTCTATTAGAAATTCAACAGCATAACATCTAAATTGGATGACTTTTTCCAGACTAAAGATTTAATTATACCATTTTTATGAACAGAATATTAGTGTACGCCACTGTTGGATCTATCAATTCGATATAACATCTCGTCGTCCAGCATTGAAGGCTTGAATGGTTTCATATTTTCTATATTCATCACTGAGAAGATATACATGTAAGCAGGCAAATCCAACCAATTCGCATTGTTTGTATTTGGGTGCCCATTCTGATGCTCGTGTAGCACTTGTATCACTTGATTACATACAATCATGTTATTGGAATGTATTTAACATGATTCCTTAATAAGTGGTGATTGTGAAAAAAAATTCATAGAAATACAAAAGTTTGAAAGATGGTTCAAAAAAAGAGTTGACTTGATTCATGAAAGTCAATATTGGACTCACCTTGTTATAATTAAAATTTAATAATATTTAAACCCTATTCCATCAAATTTAAATCTGGTAAAACCAATCTGAACTGATCATTATTCAAATATATTGCTATGACAGTTCTGTTGCAAACACCTTCACTGCACAGAGGCAGAATGGTCATTTATCAAGAACAATCTCCAAATCAGCTATTTTCAAACAGCACAAACCAAACAATCATCCAGTTTCTCCGGATAAGTTGTTGATCAGCAGATTATTCAACAAGTTGCAGCTGCCCCAAACAAACCCTTAATATCCACCTAGTCACTAAGAAAGTCTACTAAGAATCCAATGAGAGAGCTCTTTTACTGAGACTAGGTAACAAAAGAAAAAGTGTGTCAAACTCATTAAAAAAGAGCTTAAAATTTTATTTTAACAAAATTAAAGGAGCCAAATGAGTTCAGAAAAAAATCCATTTAATATATGCACCCTCTTGATAACTTATCTTCAATATAAATCATAGTGTTCTTAATTTTATATGAGCGCACGATGATTCTATATCAAATAGTTTGATAAAATTATATCGTCAATACAATTGTCCCCGCTAAGTGGGACAAAGGCTTTATTGTTGTTGTGTTGTTATATCAATACAATAGTAACAAAGGATGGATTAAATAGGTTGTTACAATAATGGAATCATACACAAGTAAAATTGTAATGAGATTGCTCATTTCAAGTATTTTGCATATAAATTAATGGAATAATGAGCATTAGTATCTCATAAATATACCTTCATGTTTAATTTATTTGTGGTTATGGTGAGATTGTAATTACTCAATCCATGGCAGAACACAAAAAAAATTGTTTTCAAATAAAACAAAAATAGAACTACCCTTCCTATTGATTGAACAATCAAAAGCTTCAACCCTCTAAGCTAGTTTATAACACAATACTTGTTAACATGCATGCAACTATCCACCTCAACCATGAAAATTATGTTGTGAAATTGATTTTGATAATTAAATTTATTTCAGGTTTTAAATTTACAAGTATTACCACCTCATCAATAATATTCAACCAAATGAGAATATTCATATATCCTTAATAAAATCCTTTTACCTCAACAATTAGATGCCTTCGAGCCCTTCTAATGTGGGGGTATCATCGCAACATGTTAAATACATCCAAGAGCCTAAAAAAAAACCTCCTATAGATTGTCAACATTCATATCATATCCTCTCTACTACTAGAACATGCATTTTTGTGGGTGGAAAATTGCCTGCCAAAGAAATTAAAAATTAAAATAAAATTCACTTCGCTTCCACTATTATTTGCCTCACCTATTGTTAATAATATTTGAGCATTTGTCTTAAAAACATACATATGTTCGTGAATGACAACCATATTTCCTCATGGCCAATAGCCTAACCGAATTATTTGAGAGGGCAGTATTTGCTAAGAATATATTTGCATTTGCATTATTTTTCCTTGTACTTTCCACTTATATATAGCAATTATCCATCGAATCACTTATGCAATAATATTCAACCTATTGAGTGTAGATATATCTCGAATGAAATCACTCTCCCCTCATAATCAGTTGATTTAAAGCTCTTCAGGCATAGGGACATGAGGCCATCAGAAAAAATGCAATCCAAAAGCTTTTCAACCTTGTGGACAACCTACTCCAAGTAGTTCAAATTCAATCCCTTTTTCCTCTACAGCAGCTAGCGAGTGAAAATTTTTCTCATTTAGTTCATTAAGAATCCAGTATAAAATAGATTTTTTGGTAACAGAAAAGACAATTCACTTGCACAATTGTCTGCGGGACTAACCCATAACATTATTCGACTCATTGTTCAAAATGTTAACACTCAAGCCCCCTCAATGAAATCCCTATTTCTTATTTGTCAACTGTCCTCCATTTGATAATAAATTAAGATATATGCACTTCAATATCTCATCAAACTTATCAAGAACCTTTTCCAGATACTCCACGGCTTCATCGCAATAATCCATCAGAAATTTCAACAAATTTCAAAAGAGTTTGATTTCAGGACCCCTTCCTCCAATTTCAATCAATAACAAGCTCAGAATAACTTATGTCGAACCTAGCACCAAAGAAATCTGCCCTCTATAAAAATAACCTGAATTCCTACCAAACGCATAGACAATCACACGACCAATAAGAAGATCTAAAAGATGCATGGGAAAACGGAAAGCGGAAAGCATTACGCTAGGGCTTAGCATAAAGCAAGGGAACAGGTTAGGTTTTACCCGCAATGATTAAGCGGTCGCAGGAGCTCTTAATGGTCTGGAACTGAGCCAAGTAATTCGCCATGGCGGATCGGAGACGTCACATGTGGGATATAGGGCCGGAGGCCGCGGCCATGGCAGGGCATAAGGAAGCGAAGGTTTCAGACTTCGAAGGCGGGAGGGGAAGTTTCTCTCAGGGTCTTCCGCTCGAGAGAAGCAGTTGGGGGTTTGATCTACCTACCAGACTCAGCTGGATCTGCGACAGGACACAGAGACCGCGGGTATCTTTTCTGCTCCGAGTCCGACTGAGAAACTTGTCCGACTTTGGTCTTATATACTACTATTATTTAAAAAAATAAAAAAATTAATAATGCAACACTATTATGATCAAACAAAATTCATTTTAAAATAAATACAAAAACTGATTAATTATTTAAATTTCATATTATTCTCAAATTATAACATATATATATATATATATATATATATATATATATGTAAACTCATTCACAAAAGATTTCTATGAATTTGATACAAAAAGATTATTTTCAAATGCCTTCCCCAATCTCAATATTCTTATGCTTATTAAGTTTCCTCTAGGGAATAGCTTGTTTTATATTCTTAGACATAATTTTATTATTATTTTTTGCTAGAAGGTTCACAATAGTAAATTACTAAAGTGATAATTTAATATCTTAGTATTGCACGAAGTTCCAGCACACATATTTAAAAAATAATAATGAGAGCTGACACAAGAATTTTTATGTGAAAGAACCCTGAAAATAGGAGAAATTGTGGAGCCTGACTCAGTTTAAATAATACATTATATAATCAAGAGGAATGTGTCTACTATTTATATGGATAAAGAAAGCTGTGATTATAAAAAATGATTATTGTAGTTTTATAATAAAAGCTATAATTGGACTATGAAATTGTATTTGATAGCTCGAAAATTAATAGTTGGGCATAGAAGTTGGTAGTTGTGGGCTATAACGGGCCACAGTTAAGTGTAATAATTGTTTGTGGTCAAAACTTTTGTTGGTGGTGGTTGGCAACGACTTGTGGTCGGTGATGACCTCAGGTAGTTCATAGTGATCTTTGATGGCCAGCGACGAACTCTGGGGCTTGGTTGTGATCTTAGATGACCAACTACAATTGTTGGGACTTTATTGGCATTTTCAATCCACAAGCATGGCATAGACAAAAGTGCAATAATTTTGTTAAAGTGTGGAGATCAGACATAAATCTAAATTTTATGTGATTTCTTGGCATGTAAAGATCATAATGGCTTCAAAAGGTAATATATAAGGAAATGAACTAGGCATGAATCAAAGTGGGTTGTTGAGATAGAAATGAGAAGTTGGATTCTTCTTATCTACGCAAATGAATGATAGATTTGATCAGCCTTTAGTATAGCAAATTAAAATGTTGTTAAGAAAATGTCAATTTAAAGGGGTGATTTCAATCTATCGAATTCATCTCATCAAATTACTTCATTTTAATCATTTAAGGGAATTATTATATGTTGATGTTATTTGTTCATTATCATAGTACTTTAACTAACAAGAAAAACTTTTGATAATCCCATTATTAGATTTAGTAAAAAATAAATGTTGTGTAACGATTATGTAACTTTTAATTATGCTTTACATTTTTGCTTTCTTAAGAGTTTTCTAATGAGGGTACATGTTTCCATTCCATCTTCCTAATAAGATATTAGTGAAGGAAGCATTAATTCCATAATTGATCAACAATTTCATCATTGTTCCTCTAAATGTAGTCAAAATTAAGATTTAGGTTGTGTTTGTGGTAGCTACAATTTGTTAAAAAAACAACTGTGATATTAAAAAATAATTTGATATTCAAAAAATTTCGGTGGCTATTAAAATATTTGTTTTTTTTTTTTTAAGTCAAACTTCAGCTAGAAAGTCGTCATTGCACCTAGTCATAATCGGTGGGAACATACAGATTTCAGCGGCAACTTTTTGAAGAAGCCGTCAAAACGCAGTTTGCCCAAATAGACAAAACTGCGGTGCGGTGCAGTACCACATACATTGCACCGCCACCCCCAAATGGTAGTCTAGTATATCTTGAGATTCTAAGGAATAGAAGACAAGTTGGTTTATTTATTTGGATCATATTTTGAAATGTGGTTGCCATTGCCATTCAACAGGATATGATGACTTATTGATTACCTTCAACATAGTGCCAACAAGACACTGCTTTGTTAATTTTTCTTAATAATATTAATACATAGCAGCTGCTTTGCATCGGAATCATTAAAAATAGTAATAAAAAGTGAAAGATGTATGAGGACAAAGGTGCTTGACATTTTTAATGAACTTTATTTATGAGGACAAAGCTATTGTTCCCTTAATATATAGCATTCAAAATAATTTTCAAAATAATATTATTTATTAATAATTACGATTGCCAAGATAAATCAAAGCAAAGTGACAATGTTTTACAAGTAGATAGCACGAAAAACAAAAGATAGGTTTCACTATGTGAGGTCGGCTACATGAATCCTTTTTCTACGTTGCGTCCTATTTAGTGTCATATTTTCATTTAGTTCCAGTAAGTTAAGATCACTTTTAATACAATAAGCCCAAGTCTTCCTAGGTCTACCTCTGCCTTTCTTAACACAAGTCAAATCTAAAACATCTACTCTCCTAATCGGATCATCAGATGGTCAACGTTTAATGCGACCAAACCATCTAAGACGACTTTCTCTAATTTTGTTCGTCACAGGAGCTAAAAAAAGAAGAATGACTTACACACATGCCATACCACTCAATTCCTATATTTACATATCTAACAACTGAATTTCAATTTTATATATATACCGCATTTTCTATGCATGATGTATTTCACTTTTAAAAAATGTTAAAAAAAGTGATATTTTTTTATGTGACAAAAGATTTGCGCCGCATAAAATAAAAGTTTAGATGTTAAATACGTAAATACACAGGAATCCAGTGGTATCTTGTAAATGGCCAAAACAAATCTGCCCAAAAAAAGGAAAAAGAGAAAATTAACGCTGCTACAGTCATTGAATGCATTTAAATTACTAATCAAACCCTGAAAAAAACAAGAATTCCAAAGTCTGCCACCAAAAATACAAAAGCCAATTCCTACAGTATCTTTCTATTTTTCCTTTGGGTGTATTATAAGAGAAACTCTCTGTTCCCTACAGGAGTAGGGAACATTCTATGTACTGTGGATTGGGACTGCAATGAATGTAAGAAAAAACTGGAATAAAGAAGAAAAAAAAACACTATATGAGCTCTAAACGTCTGTTAAGATTAGGGATGATACAATCATAACATAGGCAAGAAAGAAGAAGATGGCTATCTGAATGAAGAACTTTGGATTCTCTCTCATTCCTGGAGGTGTCACAGCTCTGTGCCAACAAAACATAAATGATTCACAATACTATCATAATAGATAAATGTTACTCAAACAATTACAAAAATAATAAGGTAAATTTTATATGCTGAGCAGACAATTCTTATGTATTTACATATCTCGCACCTGAACTTTCGTATTTACATACATAGCGCTTTGGTGTTTCGAATCTATGCATGAAAACGTGTATTTCACTTGAAAAGTGGTAATATTGCTATCTTTTATGTGACATAAAAGATTTGAGTGTTATATGAGTAAATATGAAAGTTAGGTGTGAGATATGTAAATATATAAATATTGTGTGGTAAGCATGTAAATACCCATATACGAGGCCCAAAAAAGGATAAAGTTTGGGTTCAGACATCTTCATGCAAATTTAGGTGAGTGGACCTAAAAAATCTGGGGCATGTGTATACATAACATCTAATTCCTATCTATTTACCTATCTAACACTTAAACTTTACTTTCTACATTTATACCAACCAAAATTTTCATATCACAAAAAATACCACTATATAGATTTTTAGAAAGTGAAATCCACCTTTTCATGCATAAGGTGGCATGCATGCGTAAAAATTGAAGAGTACGTGTTAGATATGTAAATACATAGGAATGGAGTGGTATGATCTATAAAAAAAATTTACATTGCACTTATTTTAAAATAAATTTAAGGACTTTGAAATGTCATATCCAAAAAATTGATCAAAATATACCAAAAGTAGGCCATATATCTTCACATTAGCACAATACAAAGGAATCAAGAGAGATACACTTTAAGTGGAGAACATATAAGGCCTAATAAAAAATTTGATGGGTTTGGATGCCTTAATCAAATTTTACTTAGGATGGATCTCAAAATTATTTGATTTATTTTGAGAAAAGTGCAATAGATGGAGAATTAATTAAAATTCATATTGCACTCATCTCAAAGTAAATAAATAGTTTTGAAACCTACATATAAAACTTGATCTGCTGAGACTTTTTTTTCTCAAAAAATAAGCCGCTATTGTCACATCAGTTCATTAAAAAAGAATCAAGAAGCATCTATTTTAAGCGTAAAGTTATCTAAACTTTACATGCATACCACACAAATCTTATGTATTTATGTATCAATCAACAAAAGTTTCATGTTTATACTTATAACATCTTGGTATTCTGGTATCATAAATTTATGCATGAAAAAGAATATTTCATTTTTAAAAATATACTGATGGCGGTATTTTTGATATGATGTCAAGAATTTGAGTGGTATGCATGTAAATATAAATGTTTAGGTGTTAGATACGCAAATACAAAAGAATTGTGTCGTATGTATGTTAATGCCCAAATTTAATAATAAGAACTTGCCGGGCTATTCGCTGTGAGAGCCTATGAAAAGGCAAACTCTGAATGAATACAATGCCTGGTCCAGTTAGAGAAACCGTTAGCTGGTAGTCACCCTGCATTATAACAGAAGAGCAGCTCATGTAATAGTTTGATTAAAATGATAGCTCAAAACTGGGAAAATCATTAATTCGAGTGGCAGGAACAAAAAAATATTCCTCTTAAAGTAGTTATATTTGGTCATGTTCTTCTTTTTCTTCTTATCCAAAAACTTTTTTTTTATTTTTTTATTTTAGCCTTGCTAACACGTCTTCGGTCCATTATTATTACCATAAATTTAGAAGAAATACAATTAACTTCTAAAATTAAGAACTCGATTAAGATTTATGGAGACAACAAGAAAATCTCCTCATGCCGGAACATTGATCCATATTATCCTAATATCCCTTTAGGTATGTTCCATCATAGATCTCATCATCATATTCAAAATCCACGCCTAGGATGAAACAAATAACACCATGCTTAGTAGCTGCAAGGACATACCGTGTGTTTGGAAAAAATAGTTTGGAAGTACGATTGGGGGCCAGAGAGGGGAGGGCATTTTTTGATTTCGGAGCTCAAAGAGTTCGTTATCCTGGTATTCTTGTGGTTTTTCTATTTGTCTTTTTATGTGTTATGTGTTTTTCTGTACTTTTATATATATGGATAGCAAACTTGTTATTAGGAAGGGTCTTCGTTTAAATATAAAAAACCCGCAGGTTGTTTTGGGTGAGGCTGTTTTTGGAGAGAGTTTTCTATTTTACTGAAGGGCGGTTTGGTACTCATTCCTCTCCCTTGCTGCTGCATCTTAAGGTGGCTCTTCGGTGGTGTTTTTGCCAATAAATTTCTTAGATTTCCTTTTTAATTTTGTTTTCTTCCTAATCGACATATTGTTGATATTGCTTTTGGTATCAGAGCCCAACATCCTTCCCCGCTATCTTATCTATTTCAAAGGCTTTGGTATCATCTTTCCATTATATTGTTTAAGATTTCTGGTTTGCGGTTTCAGTTTCTTGGAATCGACAAATCTGCTCTTCTTGATCATTCTTACTGTATTCCGGTTTCATAAGGAGATAGTTTTTGTCTTCTTGTTCTTCATGGCCGTGTTGCTCCTTCATCTTTTCCTTCCTTTCCTCTACAACATTCCAATAAAGCAACATGCCGCCATGAAGAAATGTTGCAAGAGCCAATCAATAACTGGTTGTTAAAGACTTGCAACATGAAATGAAACGCTACAAGAGCGGCTTGCAGTTCCGGAGCAAAGAACTTTAGAAGATCAGATGGTGGAACCGGGATTGGATGGGGTGGAGGATGAAGAAGATGAAAACCCCTTTCACCAAGAATCTTTTAGCGATGAGGCAGGGCCCCTGCATGAGTGGAGGAGGGAAAGGCACCACATGGTCGCTAATTTTGGAAAAAGTCGACATTTCAGATTTTGAAGGCCGGCAAGATTCAGATGAATTTATTAGTTCGCAACATGTGGTAGAGAGAACTATAAGATTTAAAGAAGTTCCCCAATAACAAATTGTTAAGCATGTGGCCATTAAATGGAGGAGAACACTTCTCTTTGGTTGGAGAACATGAAGAGAACGTGACAAAAGGAGGGTCGATCCAAGATTAACACTTTGAGCAAATGAGAAAGAATTACAACGTAAATTCCTTCCAAAATACCATCGATAAGAGGTGTTCATTCGACCACACCACCTTCATCAACAAAAATGGTTCGTGAAAGAATATGTTGTTAAATTCGAACAACTAGGCTGAAATGTAACATGCAAGACTAGAAGAATACACAATTGCACGTTTCTTGGGTATTCTACGACCATCTATAGCCAATGTGGTTAAATTCCGACCTTTTTGGACACTACAAGATGTGATTAGTTTGGTTGTAAAGGTAGAAAAATAGTAGAAATTAGGTAGGAATGTTCAAATGCGCAGTCCTACCACTGACCTGGTCGGTTCCAAGTAGATGAAGATTTGAAAACAACATCGGAACAACACTAAACCAGCCTCGGGGGGCTACTACCACAGAAATGGGAGGAAATTCGTCTAATAAAAGTTACTTCAAATGCCATGGGTTTGGCCACATAGCCTAGAATTGTCCTAACTGTCATGTTGCTTTCTTGGTGGAGGAAGTTGAACTAGAAGAAGATGATGTTGTAAGAGAAGGTTAATCTGACGAGGGAGCTAGTCATGCATGTGGATAAAAGTGAATTACATGTGATAAGGTGTCTCCTAAGTGTCGATCAGTCTTCCAATAAAGATTGGTTATTGCACAACATCTTTAGAATCTAGTATATGGTTCAGGACAAGATTTGTAACTTTATCATCGATGGTGGAAGTTGTGAAAACATGGTTTCAACATCTATGATGGAGAAGCTTGGGCTAGCTACATAGCCACATCCTTATCCCTGCATACTCATGTGGCTCAAGAAGGGAGCTGAAATTAAAGTCACCCAACAATGTCTGCTGCAATTTTCGATTGGTCGGAAACTTCAGGAGCAGGTATTACGTGCCGTAATTCCTATGGACGCTTTTCAGATATTACTTGATCGACCTTGGCAATATGACAACCATATGATTCATGATGAATATCCAAACATTTATTCATATATCAAAGAGGAAATTCAAACAACCTTGGTGCCTAAGAAGGAGGAAATCCGGTCAATGACTGAACTCAACACTTTTACTCCATCACAGTTTTTGAAATACTTGAAGGAGACAGTTATGTGATACCTCCTAATCATATCTAAAAGTTCTGAATAGCCACCAGCATCCCCTCCTGAAGTCCAGGGAGCAGGGATTGATACAACAGTTCGAAGGCACCTTCTTGGCAGAAATTCTCGTAGGATTACCTCTAATGAGAGAGAAAAAATATGTCATGGACTTTGTTGCTGGTTTGGTCATCCTGAATAAAAGATGTCTCCAAAGGAACATGTGGAGCTCCAATGTCAAGTGGATGAGCCGATCAACTAAGGCTTGGTGCATGATAGTGCTAGCGTGTGCGTAAGTCCAACTCTTTTGGTTTCAAAGAAGGATGGGTCATGGCGCATGTGTATTGACAGTCAGGTCGCAAAATAAAACCACTAACAAATTCAGGTTTCCTGTTACTCAGTTGGACAACCTTTTTGATAAGTTTAAAGGAGTAGTCATTTTCCCCAAAATAGACATTCAAAACTGGTCGTCAAATACGTATCTGGCAAGGAGATGAATGAAAAACAACGTTCAAGTTAAGAGATGGGCTATATAAATGGACGGTGATGTCGTTCGGGCTTTCTAATGCCCCAAGCACATTCATGCGTCCAACAAATCAAGTTTTCTAACCTTCATGAGAAAGTTTGTGGTGTTCTACTTCGATGATAGTTTAATTTATAGCTTTAACAAGGCTAACATTTGCAACATTTATAGGGTGTTTTTGAGGTCCTTCGATCACAACATCTTTTTGCCAATAAGGTTAAGAGGTGAATTCCTAGTTTCCTGCATCAATTTCTTAGGATTTTTGCTCTAGACAGTAAGGATGAACGAACTGGCTAACACCAACATCCTTCACTGAGATTAGGCAATTCCTTAGGTTGACCTCTTTCTATCATCGGTTCGTCAAGCGCTTTAGTACTATTGTTGTCCCATTGACCGAATTGCTCAAGATAACCCATTTTTGTTGAACAGAGCTAGCACAACCCAACTCTAATCACTTGAAACATGACCTATGTACAGTTCCAGTTTTAAAGCTTCCAGATTTTGATCATTTGTTCGAGGTGGAGTATCATGCATCTGGAATCGATACTGAAGCAGTACTTGGTCAGCAAGGTCATCCCGTAGCATCTTTCAACGAAAAACTCAACGACTCTAAAAAGAAATATTCAAAATATGACAAAGGATTATATTCTATTGTAAGAGCTCTACAAAATTGGAGTCATTAACTTTTAGCTAACGAATTTGTTCTCTATACAAAACACGAAGCCCTTGAGTATCTTCATAGTGAAAATAAACTTAAAAAAAGGCATGCCACATTGGTTGAATAAATTTTAGCCATCAATTTTATTCTAAAGCACAAATCGGGGCTTTCAAATCAAGTAGTTGATTCTCTAAGCCGCCGACAATCCATTATGTCAGTCATGCAAGAACGGGTTGTGGGCTTTGAGCTGACACGATGATTGTATGACAAAGATCCTGACTTTTGAGTGGCATGAGAGCAATTTCTAATTTGAAAATATAAAAAATTCCACATCAAGGTTGATTTCCTGCTCAAAGAAAATTGTTTATGCATTCCTACGTGTTCCATTAGAGAAGCTATATTGGTGGAAAGTCGTGATGGGGGGCCTAGAAAGCCAATTTTGGAAGAGACGAGACTCTAGCTATTTTACAAGGAAAATTTTATTGGCCCTCTATGTGTAAAGATGCGGACCACCATGTGATAATATGTCATACTTGTCGCATAGCCAAGACAATAACTCAAAATTTAGAGTTAAACCTTCCCTTGCCCGTTCCTGAATGTTATAGGACGAATGTTAACTTAGATTTTGTGGTTAGTATACCATGCACTCAACAACAAAAGGATTCTAAAATGGTGGTGATGGATAAATTTTCCAAGATGTCCCACTTTGTGTCATACAAGACCTCATTAGATGCCTCTCACATTGTCAAATTGCACTTCAAGGAGATGATTTGTTTACATGCATTGCATGTATTATCACTTCTGATAAAGATGTTAAGTTTTTAAGCCACTTTGGAAGGACATTATGGAGCAAATTGAGAACCAAACTTTAATCTAGTTCAGCTTCTCATCCACAAACTGATGGATGAATGGAAGTTATTAATAGAAGCTTTGGGAATCTACTCTATTTTAATGTGGGCAAGAATCTTCCACAATGGGACCTCCTTCTATCACAAGTGGAGTTTGTCTATAACTTATCTCGCAGCCAAAACTCCAAACACAACCCTTTTGAGATAATTTATGGAAGAAATCCTACATCTCCACTAGATTTTACATTGTATATTCCAATCAAGGTCGTGAACCCAAATATTGAGGCTCGACTACAACAAATCCAAGAGCTCCATAAATTAGTTTGGGAGAATATCATTGGACAAAATGAAGTGTATCGGCGAAAAGCAAATAAATGTAGCAAGGCGGTCACTTTCAAAGAAGACAAAGTATGGATTCGATTAAGGAAAGAGCGTTTTCCTATGGGAAAACATGGGAAGCTCAAAGCCAAAGCTGACGGGCCTTTCTGGGTTGTGAAGCGTATTAATGGCAAACCTTACCGAATTGATCTCCCTAATGTTTATAATATTTCTACTACATTCAACATCGTCGACTTGACTCCACATTATGAATCTGATTTAGAAACTACTATGAGGAATCCCTGCCAACCCCCTAGAGAATGACGACGGAGCTCGAAGAGTTTGTTGTCCTAGCGTTCTATTTATTTTAGTCTTTTTATGTGTCATGTGTTTTTTTGTAGTTTATTTCTATGGATGGAAAACTTGTAATTATGAAGGTTGTTAGCTTAAACATAAAAGACCTATAGGTTGTTTTGACTAGGCCATTTTTGGAGAGAGTTTCTATTTTCCTGAAGGGTGGTTCGGTACTCACACCTCCACCTTGTTGTATCCTGAGGTAGCTCTCAGGTGATGTTTTTGCTAATAAATTTCTTACAAATTCCTTCCTGATTTTCTATTCTTTCCCAATTGACAATCTGCGGGTATAAATTTTTTTCATTTTTTATGTTTGTTATTGTAATTATTTATTACTTTTTTCTACATATTTTTGTGTATAAATATCCATTGAAAAATTGTAATTCTAAGCTTTCATAACTACTTTTTTTCTATAAATATCTTAGTAAGAAATTCAACTATGTTCTCGTATTTTATTCATAGTGCAAATTATTCAAGAATTGTTTTCTTTCTACGAATCCCATAATCAAGAGAAAACAAGTAATTTAAAGTCTAAAATAAATTTAACACAATATAGCACCAAATGGGAATGATGGACAACCAAATAATCATGAAGCCAAAAAGACCAGTGATGATGATGATGATTATAAGAAAAGAAAGGGCTACACAAAAGTCAACATCTTAGTTGTTCTCAAAAACTTTCATCAAATTCCACGCTTCATGTAGCACTCAACAAAATCAAATGAGATATTGTAATTAAGCTTTTGACAGTGTTGTTGATATATATTAAATATTATATATGTCACTCATATTTTGTCCGATTTTTAGAAAAAATATCAGATAATACAATTGCAAAATTATTATTTTTTTATCTGGCACATAATTTGCACCATACTGATAAAGAGCACAAGAAATTAATCATGCAGACAACTTTGTTTAATACATGCTTCAAATTTTGGTAAGTTTAAGTTATATAATGCAAAAATTCAAAATCTTTCCACAAAACAATGCACCATATTATTATGTCCAAATAATAATGATACAGAACCACAATCATTGAATTAAGTAACTTCAGCATTAAAAAAACATCTGAAGAAATCCACCTCAGATAACCCATCATACCCACTGACTAGCTCACGCAATGTAAATGATATCAAAATCGTAATTGACAAGTAGACAACTAATTTCGTAAAAAATAGAAGCTTATTATTAGTGGAATTTTTTATATATAAGTAAATATTAAATTTTAGGAGTTAAATATGTCAATATAGAAAAGAATGTAAACACCCAGAAAAAAAATCAAATCAGTGCAAGAGGATTCCATCATTGCCAGGAGAGCATTGTTGTACACACTCTAACTATTAAACTATAAAAATATTTTAAGTAAGATTTGCATATATACCACTCAATTCTTATGTAATTAGATATCTAACATCTAAACTTCAAATTTTACATATATGACACCTTACCTAAACATGAAAAAGTGTATTTCACCTTTTTAAAAGTTAAGATTTAAATCATTGCCATTTTTGATGTGATATGAAAGGTGGTATTAATGTAAAAAAATCAAAGTTTAGGTCTTAGATATATAAATACATAGGAATTGGGCAGCTATGTATGTATATGCCCTAATATATAAATCCACCACAAGTTTATAATAGAAGCAAACTAAAATCACTCATGATCTACTCGATTTATCATCAACGACGAAAGAGAAAAAAGTAGATAAAACTATACCCCAAACACGGCTCTTCTGACAGGATGGGAGTATTTGACTTGGGAATTGATGGTAGTTGTCATCGCAACTAAACAGGCAGCATCAACAACCACCACTTCTTCAGCTTCAAGGACTTTCTGTACAACTGCTTGGTGGATGCCACAGAAAATTTCCATTGATAATATAAGAAATTTCTTTTTCTTTTATCAAAATTCAAAGAGATTTAATTGGTAAACTAATAACATATTACACAATTACATGAAGTGCAGCTAAGATTTCTTTTTCAGGTTTAAGAGATGCAATTCGATTTGTAAGCACTTAAGTCAAAATACTGGTGCATAAATAAGCCACTGCAAATACTAATTTATGTTAATAGAAGCGAAAATGCAAGCAATCATCAAACTCATGCCAACAAATGATAAATGAATATGTAGGTTAAGATTTCAGATGTGTAGCATCTTATGATGATGATGTTTTTCCTTGAGAGTTGCATCATGCATGCTGCTGAATTGGATTTTATTAAAAAAAAAACATCAAAGCTAGCACAATAATGGATAAGTCTACAATATGAGTGAAAATTATCTGAAGAATTAGTGTTTCAAAAAAGCTTGTCATTCAGGAAAAACTCGTTTTCAACTCGCTAAGTACCGCGTGTCACTTCGTTTATTAAGCGAGCTGAATACGAACAATGATTTTGAGCTCAATTTATAAATAGGTTGAACACAAACAGAAATTTGCTCAACTGTGTTTGACTTATTTTGGCCCAAATTAATTAAATAATTCAATCATTAATATTTATTAAATAAATTTTATATTACTTTTTTATGTTCTATTTCTAAAATGCTAAATTTATTATTTTTAAAATCTTTCAAGCAAAATTTGATCCAAACATGAGCCACAAAAGAATAAATGAATTTGAATCTTGCCAAACACAAACATATTATTCATGAGTTCTTTCAAGCAAAAAAAAAAATTAAATGAGCCGAACATACACAAACACCCAGTTTGCTCAAGCTCAGCTCGTTTACACCCCTACCCAAGACTAAAAGGAAGAACCCTCCAAAGAAAAGAGGGAAAAGAAAGTAACCTTCTGTTGAAGAATCAATAAACCTATCAAGGCCGTCTTGTCTATGTATAGACAAACGTTCAATGAAACATATTCGTGGGCATGTAAGAAACAGGCAAATGGTAAAAATGCCAATATTCGTGCAAAATGAAAGTATTCCTTAATCCCAAAGTTAAAAAAACCAAGAAGTCGGTGCAGAGTTCATGCAGCAATACACTGTTACAAGTGGTACGACGATAAAAGCCAAGAAGGCCTCATCTACAACAACAACAAACCTTTATCCCACTAAGTGGGATCAGCTACATGAATTCTTTTTCTCCATTGCGTCCTATTGAGTGTCACATTTTCATTTAATTTTAATAAATTAAGATCATTTTTTATACAATATGCCCAAGTTTTCTGGGTCTACATTTGCCTTTCTTAACATAATTCAAATCTAAAACATCTACTCTCCTAATCAGATCATCAGATGATCGACGTTTAATGTGACCAAACCATATAAGACGACTCTCTCTAATTTTTTCTGCCACTGAAGCTACACCAATCTTATCGCGGATATATTCATTTCGCATTTTGTCTCTAAGTGTAAAGTCACTCATTCACCTAAGCATTCTCATCATTCTCCTAAGCATTCTCATCTCAGCAACACTTAACTTAGTTTTATGCTTCTGTTTTAAAGGCCAAAATGTAGCATCATAGAGCATTATAGGTCTCACCACCATCTAATCAGATCATCTGATGGTCGACGTTTAATGTGAACAAACCATATAAGACGACTCTCTTTAATTTTGTCTGCCACTGGAGCTACACCAACCCTTTCACACATATATTCATTTCGTATTTTGTCTCTAATTGAAAAGCCACTCATTCACCTAAGCATTCTCATCTCGGCAACACTTAACTTAGTTTTATGCTTCTCTTTTGAAGGTCAACATTCAACGTCATGGAGCATTGCAGGTCTCACCACCATCTTATAAAATTTCTCTTTCAGTCTAAGCAGTACTTTTCTATCACACTATGGCCCCGTTTGGGGCAGCTTAAAACAGTGGGCGGCGTTTTCAAAACGCCGCTTTACTGTTTGAAGAACACGTTTATGCTGCGTGCTAGAAATCGCGAATTTTATTTTAGGCATGACGCTGCCCGCGGGATCATGTGGGCGGTCCGCGTTGCCTCGTCGCGTTTTCTCTTGAATTACTCCGCTACCCTCGCGATCGAACCCTGCTCTTGCGCCTCTCGGATTCGGCATTTCTTCCTCCTTCATTCGCGATCGAGCTCGCAATCTCGCTCCCTGCTTCGTTCGCGATCGAGCTCGCAAAACTGCTCCCTGCTTCGTTCGCGATCGAACTGGAGCCCTCTCC